TGCTGATGATATCCTGAAGTTCAAAGCCAGTCCAAAGTTTGCCTGGTTGAACAAATGGCAGCTGGGTAATATTTGTCTGGAAATAGCATAGTCTGATGACTGATAATAATAAATATTTATGTGGAGATTTGTATTCCTGGTCATTGCTAACATCAATGGGGCTCGAGATCTGAACTGGTCTTGGGCTCCCCTTTCACCAATCCACAAGACTGACCAAAAGGATTAAGTATGGAAAAAAAAAACTTCCATGACCGATACGGTGTATTAGAGGCCTTCATCCAACGCTGATCTGACAAAGCGCTGTAATATTTGTAAAATTACATCAGGCTCGATGAGCATTTCCCCAACACAAAGGTCAATTTCACTTTTGCCCATAGTCCTTCCACAACAATGGATAACGAAATCTGTAAACGACGAGAACATTCCATCATAATAGTCGAAGAGTGAGGGTCACACATTTATAATCACGACGCAATATACAGAGTGCTCCAGATGTCTTGTGACCCCAATTTGATTCTCTAAAACTTAATATTTTTCGGACACAAATGGATGTGAAAACAGAAATTAATATGCAAGAGAGAAACATTGCGAGGGGTCAATTACTCGGGGGTCACAAGACATCTGGACCAACCTGGACAATTAATCTTTTATGGACGGAATGACGAAGCAAGCACTGCCCCCTCCCCCCCAGTGGGTACAAGGCGGCAATGATGAAGTGGTGATGCGGGTGAGAGCGGAGTTGGAGCCGGCGAGGTCACTGAGAGCCCTGAGGGCTCCTCGCATTTGCCACCATCGTGACCCCACTGCGCCTTCCTCCTCCTCCCACTCCTGCTAATCTCCCACCTACTCCTCCACCTCCTACTACTCCGCTTCCTCCACCTTCTACTCCTCCTTCTCCACCTCCTCCTACTGCTCCTCCACCTCCTACTCTTCCACCTCCTACTGCTCCTCCTACTCATCCACCTTCTACTCCTCCACTCCTCCACCTCCTACTCCTCCCCTTCCACTTCCTACTCCTCCTCCACCGACTCCTCCTCCACCTCCTCATACTCCTGCTCCTACTCCTACTCCTACTCCTACTCCTACTCCTCCACCTCCTCCTCCACCTTCTACTCCTCCACCTCCTCCACCTCCTCCACCTCCACCTCCTCCTCCACCTCCACTTCCTACTCCTCCTCCACCTCCACATACTCCTGCTCCTACTCCTACTCCTCCCTGCTCCTACTCCTCCTTCTACTCCTCCACCTCCTACTCCTCCTCCACCTCCTACTCCTTCTCCTCCACCTCCTACTCTTTCTCCTCCACCTCCTCCACCTCCTCCGCCTCCTCCACCTCCTCCACCTCCTCCACCTCCTCCACCTCCTCCGCCTCCTCCACCTCCTCCGCCTCCTCCGCCTCCTCCGCCTCCTCCACCTCCTCATACTCCTACTCCTCCTCCACCTCCACATACTCCTGCTCCTACTCCTACGCCTCCCTGCTCCTCCTCCTACTCCTCCCCCTACTCCTCTTCACCACTCCGCCCACACGTCCAGGCACAGAGTCAGCGAGCTCAAGGCCCCCCACTCATCACGCCGACGCGATATGTGTTTCTAACCGACACCCAAGCTCATTGGGGTAACCCCTGGTACTTCGACCTGCAGTTCCGTAGCTTATGCCGCTCTGCACGTTTTTAACTCCTCCTTAAACGGGTGGACAGATATTATGAATGGGATTGTCCGATTGCCAGCCAGGGAACAAGTATAGGCATGCTACATTCAACTCTGGACAGCGTGCCCAATGAGATGTTACATCTTGAGGGATTGACCAGATGAATAAAAAACTAATTTAAAGCACGTATCGAAGCGTAGATTACACTTTGTTCTCCTGCTCATGATGGGTAAAACCAATTGTGGGTGCGGAATTGATTATAATTTATGTTTAAAAAACATTGTCACATTACTATTTATAATGCACAGTAGTCGTAATTGTATGCAAATTGTCCACTTTTGTTACATGAAGACTGATGCAATGAATGGGACAGAAGAAACAAGAAGGAAACATGTGAAACAATACGAATAAGATGGGGAAAAAGGATGAATTAACCCAGTTATGACATTGGATTGTGACAACGATGAAATTTCAGTGAGAGATTAAATGCTTCCTTACTTGTCAAACGCAATGCCAAGTAAAATAGTTAATTCGAATTCGTAAATATACTGCACCTATCAAAACATTTAAATAAGTACTTTGTGTATGGCAACTGCAGCGATTTCATACAATTAGCATTTGGAACAGAACGCGGAATTGTATATGCTTATCTCGCACGGCGTATTTTTGTTTTCATATTCGCGTGCGCGTGCACTCGTCAAATATTTGCGTACCAAACCCCCGCATTGAAATTCTGAACTGACGTGGATGTCAGAAGAGAAGCCCGAATCGATGTGACCTTCTGCACCCCTCAAATATTGATACGAAACAATTCCATACGCGCGCGCTACAAACATCTTCATTAATCTTTGACTCGTATCGATTTCGGCCACGTGCTCAGCTCTACGTTATGGGTTTACCAACGCAGCGCACAAACACCCGAGCTCAGACAGTTAGAAGGACAAATTGTGCTCTACGCATTTCCAGGTATTGTAGCTCATGCTCTGGTGTCCTGCCCCAGAGGTGTGTTTGCTCACCTTGCCCTCTGGCACTGGAACGACCTCTACAATCACTCCATTATGAATCCCATCACAGGCATTGGAAGACAAAGAGAAAGATCCCCAGTTTAGCATGTAACAGACTCATACTCTTAGTTCTTTCGGTAAAGTCACGTAGGTAAAAAAATGAAATTAAAATTAATAAAAATAAAACAATAAAAATCACGACGTTTCGGAGGCAACACAAGTCTCCGTCATCAGGTGGGACCGTCACAGCCAGATTTGCTGCATCAAATCTAGAATGTAACAGACGTTTGGAGCAAATGCTGTTAGCGAACACCTATGAAGCCCGGCTCGGCACACAAGGGGGTGAGTGGCCAGCAGGTACTCATTTGAGGCTGAGTCGACCTAGAGAAGGCCCATGACCGGTTCAGATTATAATCGAAGGCGGGTCGCCGGGTTCGTCGCACAGCGCGCTAGCCCGTGACGCCACAGCTCTCCCCCTACGAAGGCGTCACACTCACAAAACAAGGAGCACGGCAGCGAAATTGCTCCAGCGGCAGCGCGCTTGCTGCAGAGATTTCACAGTTGGAGCCCAGAGACAGCCCTGGTTAATACCGCTACGGGTGTATCAACCATAACATACACGCCATCTGTTTTGCGGTGGATTTTATATTCGTTGTTCAAAAACGAGTAGTCCCGTGTGTGTGTGTCTTTGTGCCGGTGTCGAATATGGCAGAGATAGCTTCTCCAAAAGTCTGGCACAGGAGATGATGCTGTTACGTATCAGCAGCGGTGATACTTCGTGAAGAACACACAACATCCCTCATCCGGCTGTAGATAGAGTTCCATTGGCTTTGTTGTCAGTGAAACAGTTCGACAGCAGTCTATTAGGAAATGGCAGCGTCAATCTTCATATGTCGTCATTAGCAAATCATTATCATTACCACCTCCTCCTCCACTTAATCAATTCGCCCGCGTCATCTTCTTTAGCTCGTTTCACTACTAAAAAGTAGGAAGCAATTAATTTCCAATGCGTGCATTGCTTCATAAAAAAAAAAAAACAATGCATGCCACGAAAAGCGTTAGGAATTAAGAAAAAAATGTCGGCCACAAAAATGATGTTAAAACACCACTCCACCGCACGTAGAACTCCCCTCGGGCCTTACCTCTCAACCGGGCACTCTCCCCATAAATTATTCACAAGTTCTGATGAGTGGTGAATGACAAAAGTTGATTCACCAGCATGTTCAATAATGTACATCGACCACTCTTATTTTAGCCAGAACAGGCCGACTTTCCAAGGACAGAAGGTTAACCTGCCCAGTGCCGCACAGACGAACGGATTGTACCAGAAGAGACGGCTCAAGGTAGCAGGCAGAGGGCATCTTAAACGTTTAGGGCCTTGGTGCCATAATTGTGAACCCTCGCGTGTGCATGTTCTGGTTAATCATCTCATGCTTGATGGATTCGAGGAAGGTGAGTTCTTACATCCGTACGGTCAAAATATCACGGAAGATAACCACAGCGATGCAGACAGCAGCCGGATAACGTAAACGTCAAAAGTGCCGTAATAATAGTGTTTTTCCACTTTTTTCTGGCAACAAAACTGAAACCTTTTTACAAGGATTCATGCCTGCGTTAACCACAATACTTGCAGTCAAAATGCAAACAAAAAACACACTCTGATAATATATGCATTGTCCTTGAAACGGATTGGTCCACACCAGAGACAGCTTTCTTTTGAGCCTCGTCTCAATTGCATTTTGACTGCAAGTATTGTGGTTAATGCAGACATGAATCCTTATAAAAAGGTTTCAGTTTTGTTGCCAGAAAAAATTGGAAAAACCCTATTATTATATTTTGGTACTGGCAAAGGAGGTCTAATGATGTCAAAAGTGCTGTCAACCTGAGAAAATATTAACCGCGGTCAAGTCCCGAGTTTGTTCGAGAGTTAATTCCGTGAGATGAACGGTCGTCCTCGTTCAACAGCGAATCGAAATGTACAGCATCAATTTGTAAAAGCCGTACATTCACGACAGGGCGATGATTAATGGTGACGGCGAGGTAACGCAAAATAAAGACGGACGAACGAACAACCAACTTCAAAAGAAAAAACGACAAAAAATAAAAAAAACTTACAATTCGTGGTTGGGACATATTACCATGAGCGCAGACTACACAGAGTGTTTGAAACCTAGCTAGGAGACAGAGAGACAGACAAAGAGAGAGAGAGAGAGAGAGTCAGGAGGTCAAGAGGTCAGAAGTACAGGCCGCAAAACAACACATTTTTCGAAAATCATAGGAGCAGCGGAGAAATTGAAACAAATTCCCACGGACGAAGCCCACTCCGGGCCCTGATCTCGTGCTCCTCACCTTTGCAGCCCTCGCAGGTGAGGGCATTGTAGTGATAGCCCGAGGCCCGGTCCCCACACACCAGGCACAGGTCCTGGGCGTCCTTGACCGTTCGTCCTCCGCTCTGCTGCCTGCTCGACGAAGCGACCTCCATCTCGGTGAGGTGCGGCTGCGGGCTCCCGCTGGTGCTGCTGCCTCCCACGCTGGCCGCGACGCTGCCCCCGCTGCTGCTGCTACAGCTGCTGCTGGGGCCCCCGATCCTGCCGGGCGTCTCCGCTGGCCACCGGGCGCTGTGGGTCCGGTGGTAGGCGCTGCGCGGGCTACCCGGCGAACGCTGCTCGCCGGCGGCGAACGAGTCGTGCGCGTACGGGCAGGGGAGGCCACCGTAGTCGTAGTGCACGTCCGGGAAGGTGCCGGCCTGGAGCAGTTGCAGCTCCAGCTCGGGCAGGGACAGCGCCATGTGCTCCGATATGACGTCTGCGAGAGAGAGCGCAGCACAGCCGTTGTTTTAGGGGTTGGTGGACGCCGCCAAGGTTGTCACGGTCAGGACGCTGGACTCGCGACGCAGTGATTACCTCTTCCATTCCATCATCCCACCCCGTGTGGAATTTGAAACAGAATCAGAATCTTTATTTAGCGCGGATTGGCTACGCACGGTGCGAAAGAAGTTGAACATACATATCCTGGAGAAATCCGATGAGCTATGATGCTCTTTTCGCAGATACCTAGCAGAGGCGGGTCAGAAAGTTGCACACCCTGAAAGAACGGTGCAGGTTTCTTAAATCCCTCCCCTCTACCTCTGTCCACCCAGAAGTTGAAATGGGTACACCACATCTTCTTGGTTCTTTCGGTAAAGTGACGTAGAATGGACAGAGTCTGAATGACTCTGTCTCCTCGACAGACCTGTTCTCCACCTGAGGACGGCTACTTGCATTGTGGCCGAAACGTCGTGAGAATTATTTTATTATGTTTTATTTTCATTATTTTATTATTTCTCTTCTACGTGACTTTACCGAAAGAACCCTGCAGTCACGAAAGCATTAAATCGAGGGTACACCACAGTTAGTCGGCAGATCGCAAGCGGTGGGGTCACGTGTGCGTACTTTCGCCTCTTCCAGAATGTCTGGCTAGTTTGGAAGATTAGGCCAAATACAATCCAGAAGGGCTCTCCGGTGCTTACTCTAGTGGAGATGTTTTCACCGGCACTGGCGCGATCAAAACATGTCTGGGTTGGTACCTTTAGCTTTAACAGTCCCTTTTGTTTTCCTCAATAATTGTGTTCATGTACCTTGAGAATTGTTTTATTATTGTTTTGGTTAATTTACCAAGGCTGCAATTTGCTTAAACGGAGTGCTCTATTGACATTCCATCTGGCTTTAAGCAAATTTCTGGCTGGTGCCGTGATGTAGAATTTAAGTGACGAGCAAACACACGTCTGTGAATCCGTGAACTTAAAGGAGGGACGGCATCGGTAGAAGGAGGCCCTCGTCCAGCAGTCTATAGACCGGGCTGATGAGGATCGCTGATCGCACGTAAAGCCGGAAATCCAGAGTTTCAACGGCAACAACGATCCGCCTCTACAGCGCCGTGCATCCTCCCCGTACTGCCGCCGCCGCCGCTGCTTTCTGACCCCAGAGACGGCGGTCAATGACGGCAGCGTCTCCCCACAGCGCGGGGAAACCGCAGCCCCGCTCCAAGCGAGCAATGTCACCGCACCTCCACCAGCGGTGACCGGCACGGGTCGGGCTCAGGTGAGTGTCGCATCTTAGGAACCCGACGTTGCCCTGGGCGGACGCCTCGGGGATCGATCGCAAGCGGAGGCCCTCGCCGCAGCGTGGCCATGGTCGTCAACGGGTGGCGGCCATGGTCGTCAACGGGTGGCGGCCGTGGAGCTGCTCCCAATGCGGGACAGACCACGGTTGGCGTGGACGCCAGGACGCCGATGATGACGACGATGATGATGTTGGAGGCAATGGTCATGATGAGGAGGCATGATATCCCTCTTCACATTCGCAGCATCACCTCAATCGCCTCTTTCAAGAGAGACTTAAAAACTCACCTCTACAATCACGCTTTCGAGCGACTCTGAGCTTGGCTCCGCGCCTCTGAGTTGCGGCCACTACGTCTGCAAATTTGCGCGCGTTACAAATTGAACTTTAATTATTATTATACACTGCAAGCAGGGCGCCCTTGCCAATGACATCTGTCAACCGTGCAGCATTTGTTTTACACGCTTGACACCGCTGATGATACCATGAAGGTCTGAAACCAGTCCAGAGTTTGGTCGTGAAATAAATTTCCGATAATGTTGGGTTGGAAGGCCGATAGACTGGTGGACTGAAGCGTTTTCCAACGGAATTTGCTTAAAGAAGCAAACTCTGGTTTAGTCTTAATTTTGGAGCTTTCGTGACTGCAGGAATTATTCTTTGGTTTTTTCGGTAAAGTCACGTATAAAAATAAAATAATAAATTAAATAATAGCATACGACGTTTCGATTGCAACACAAGCAATCATCATCAGGTATAATGAAATAGCGACGTATGTATAGAGAGAGCAACCCAGGTATCTCTCTCTATGTATCTTGGTGATATCTGTCTGCTTATATGTCTGTCTATAGTTTTCTGGTTATATTCTATGTCGCTATTTCATTATACCTGATGATGATTGCTTGTGTTGCAATCGAAACGTCGTACTCTGGTTTAGTTTTGATATTGAGTTACATTTATTGAGTTAATAATCCACAATGCTCCATAAAAACTCCGAATGAGTGTTTATTATGAAATACATCTGTTATTTCAATATCATGTGCCTTGAATTTACACTGAAGTATTTGGATTCACTGCTAAAGCCTCTTCCCAATGATCTTATCATCATCAGTTCATATTTTCAATGCGCTTCACACCTTAAAGTGCATGCAAGATAGTCCAACATGTGAATCAAATGTTCACAGATCTTTAAACACAACAACAATAACAACCACCAATTAGTGTAGAAATAAACATAGAAATAAGTAAAACAACAACAACAACCGCCGTTCACCACCAAATGGCGGTGACGTCTCCACGGCGTTTGTGCCATGCTAGGTGCACTTTGAGGCCACGTGAAGTGTCGAAAGGCCCGCTGGCAGGAGGTCACGGGACAGAACAATGAGTAAAGTACTTCATTCACAGCCCTGTGATGAACGCCTCGTCACATCATGTCAGTCATGGAGGGTTGATTGACCATACTTCACCACAGTTATCATTGCGAAATGGTTATAGGTGGGATGACCCAGGACTGGTTCAGGTAATCATTCGCCAGTGATGTTAGCCGTGACCAGGAAATCTGTGTCCATATTGCAGTGCCCTAACCAATGTGCCACCGCTCCCCGTAAGCAAACACAATATAACAAAATTAAAAATTCAGTATTTGCCTGTGTCCTAACACAATGCACATGAGTCATTGTTCACAGTTAGAGTGAACAAGGCAACTCGTAAGTCTATTCTTGATTCGATCCGAGTTCGTTTATTTAGTGATGTGGTCAGGCAGGCCGTTTCTTAATCTCGGTGCCATCACAGTAGAGGCAGACTCTGCAGTTCTGACGTCTGGTACTGCACCTGGGAGCAATGCAAATCACAAAACCCCCACAATGCATTCATCAATAGCACTGCCCTCAAAGGAAGCCAAACACACCAGAGATTAGCGCTGCCTATATGCTCATTTTGAGATTCCAAGTAAGTTTTCACTTTTATGTTTAAGGAAAACAAAAAATATATAAAACAGGTGACGTTTCAGGAAATGGCTCTTCTTCATAATAGAGGCCATGGCCCAAAACGTCGCCTATTATTTGTTTCATAATCAGTGCAGTGTTATTGATTAATGTGTTTAGGTATAAAAAAAGAACTATTCTATTTTTTAAATTTTATTTTACCAGGTAAGGCCCACTGAGCTACGTAGCGCTTTTTCCGAAGCGACCTGGCTGTCGCAAATGACAACTTACCGAAGTGACGGCTTATCACGTGGACATTTAGAGCAGCCAAACACTCTAAAAGGCACGTTTCTAAATGTGGAGGGAAACATTGGAGAACCTGGAGAAAGATCCACTCGACCACGGGGAGAACATGCAAATTCCATATATTCAGGCGTCGTCAGGGTCGGGATCAAACCCATGTCTTCCTGTATACCGGGTGAGGTAGTTAACATCTCTGTTCGTTGTGCACGCACACCTCTGCCAGCGCAGTATCACGAAATTCCAACCAAATGTGGCACATCATGGAATCGTACATCACGAATCTACTTGGCAATCCACGTTCGCTTGGCGTATTTATGATCAACATTTTTTTTCTCCATTCAGCCCGATCATTTCGCCGGCCGTTCGACGACGCAGCCGATTGTTTTTTTCACGCGTTGTCCTTGGGGTAATCGGAGAGTTCGTGTGCGCGTGAGAAACGTTATCCTTCACCGTGCGCGCACTCACAAGGCGGGCTCGTATTCCGACTCCGCGTTCACGTTTGGGCGGCTCCACAACGCGCGCGCGCGCGCGCGCGAGGCCACGCCGGAGCTGAATCGTGGTAACAAGAGGCGTCACCGACTGTCAGCGCAGCGTTTCTTTCCACGCACGGCGTCCCACGGACGGTTCGCATAGCGCCGCGCACATTTGGCAACTTTTCCTCCTACTAACGTCGCCGGAAAGCGATGTTAATGGGGCAATCGCGATGCCAGCTATCAACCTCGTGCTGTTTAGTTAAAAAAAAAAGGCAAGCAAGGAAGTTGCCGTCGTGTTAATGGTCAGCGCACTTGACTTGTGATCCACACGGCGCTGGTTCGACTCGACCTTGCGGCGCGGCAGTTGAAACAATGCGAGACATTTCCTTAAATCCCCTCCACCTCTTTCAAGCCCAGCAGTGTGAACGGGTGCACTTAAAAGTTGATCGGCAGTTCGCGTGCACTGTTTAGTGATTTTCTGACCTGTCCTATACTCTGCGCTCCTATCGTATTATTGTTTATTGTTAATTGCTGCTATCAATTTCCACGCGATAAGCTACTTTGTTGAGCTTTCATTCGTGGCCAGGTCGCTTCTGAAAAATAATTTAAAACCCCAGTTGGGCTTTACCTGGTAAGATACAAAAAAGTTTATTTGTAAAACAAATATTATTTGTTTACCTTTCTGATAAGGTACCTTGCACTCATATCGTGTGTTTGTATTGTTTGTTGTAGTTAAAATTCGGACCCGTCGCTATTGGACATCTGCGATTAAAAGAGCTTCATAGCTCATCTGATTTCTCCAGGATAAATAAATATTCTTACTCCGAGTACTCCTGCCTCTTTCAAAATATCTGGCCAACATGGAAAAGTAGACAAAATACACCCTGCAAAGGGGCTCTCCAGAGCGTCCATCTCGTGGAAGCTCTTCCCACCAGCAGTGTTGAGAGCAAGGCATTGTCCAGGCATGTTTGAGTTATAGTAACAGCACATTTCCCATTGTTGAAAGAAAGTCT